AAAAAAAAAAAAGGTCCGTCAGCACACACCGTTCGGCGCCGCACCGTGTTCGCACCGCGCCGCCTACCCTGGGTGCTGGCCGGTCGGCCCAATGCTGCTCGCGAACATCAGGTTGAACTGCTGCGGCTCCGACACCTCGTTGTCGGTGTCTGGGTTCGTGATCTTGTGCGTCCGGCACAGCTCGCCCAGCTCGGGACCAGAGTAATTGTCGAGCTAGCACCCGTGTCAGCCCAGGAGGCGCGTCTCGCTCCCATTCAACACCGCGCACCTGTGCCAGAATGGTCTCGTATTCGGCCACGACCGCGTCTGCCAGCCGCACCGGCACAGCCTTGGCCTTGTCCTTTTTTGGCTTCTTCTTCGCCTTCTCGTCTTCTTTGGGAGGCTGAGCTGCCTGCCCGCGCGCCTCCTGATCGCTCGCCAGCCGAGACGACAGCACGTTCTTCACGAGGTGGTCCGCACGCAGCACCTCGCCCGTCTTGACGTCCTTCACCATCCAGTCCGCGAAGCGCGCGACGTGCCCGGACGTCTCGAACACGGGCGCCGGCGTCATCACGGTCGTGTCCAGCTCCAGCATGTGCTCTTCGACAATGAAATGTTTGCGCCATTCGGCAATGATGTTGCTCTGCAGAGAAGACCCAGGCGGGCCGTAGTCGTACAGCCCGGCCACCCCTGTGCGATATGGATCAGCATATCAGCCATCTGCGCCGCGCGGAGGGTGCCAGATCGCAAACGGAACTGCGCGCCTGCACACGGCGTGCTGGGCAAGGGGGACACGGCGCACTCCAGGGCTGCCGCTGCCGCTGCCGCGCACACGCGGGGGACGACCGACACGACGAGCGATCAGGTGTCACGAGAGGGAAAACGATATTCTCAGTGCGGGTGCTTCTGGCGGATTTTAGGATGGTGTGCGGCATTTAATAAAATGATGCTTCTCATGCCCATGCTTAATGTCCGCCATGCGTTCCTCGCTTGCGCGCGCTGCTACTCTGTGATGCCCGGAGATACCACAGATGTGAGCCAGATCGCGGCTGGCGCTGCGGGAACCCGTCGAGCAGGGTATATGCACCCGCGCGGCCTGCTTCCACTTCCATGCAGCAGCATGGTGAGATGGGGAAACGCGGGCGATGTGATTGGCCCGCGATCGATGGATAGCAGCCCATGGGCTCCGTCGCGAGCCAGGCAGCCAGACTATACCAGGCAGGGTCCCCATAGCTGTCTGGTGCCCTCTGTCGGAGAAGTGGGGTGCTGGCGGAGTGAATGGGCAGCTCGCGATGCAAACGTGCCCGCCCCAGTATATGGCGTGAGACCGCCCATAAACACAGAGTGCAGTGGACCATACCGCTCGCGGCCCTCCCCCCCCCTCCTCCCCACCTGGCATCGCATCGCACCTCAAACTGAACCCCACGCCGCCGCATACCGCCCACTCCGTGATCCGAACGCTAGCGAGGAAACGCCGTCGCGGACGCGGAGAACATGGGTGGAAAGGGAAGAACTCGAAAGAACAAAACTCACCGCCGTAAATCTCAAACGCAGGGGCGTAGAAGAAGCGGCGATTGAGCAGCGCCTCCAGGCGCGCCTTGTCGAACGGGTGCGCCGTCTTGTTCACGGTGGTGGTGCTTGCCATGTTGGTGTGCTTGAGACGAGTGTGAGGGGGAGTATATGTACAACGTCGGAAGAGAAAAGGCCGGGTGGAACTCTGGCGCATCCAATGCGCGCCAGTCCTGCAGATCTGACTCGATAGCCAAGGTCACGAATCGATGACGAGCAACACGCACAAGGAGCTCAATGCAGCTAGCTGTTCTACACCGTGAGGTCTATCCTGTCAAAGTCGATGCAAGAAATCGACAAGGCAGAATCAAGTTCGGTCAAAGTTCAACGCGAGTTTTTGGGTGAACCGGTCGTATTGCTTTCGCGGCCAGTGAAAGTGAACGCAGAAATTTTACGTCACGTGACCTGACGCCATTTTTTTTTTTTTAAAAAATTACACTTTTGCCTTATCCGGACTTGTGTCATGTTGACTTCCTCCAAGACCGCGAAGGGTGGTTGAGATGTATTCTTTGAGTGCATGCAACTCTTTGATTCGTTTACCTGCAGAGACACGTCAAACTTGAAGGTATAAGCCCAGGACCGCGATAAGATTAGATGGATACGTCGATTAGATAGATGGGTGCGGCGATAGACTCTACTCGGAGTCGAGGCACCCGGGTTCACTCTGAGACACAAGAGACACGGTCCCCACAGCCCTCTTTAGACCTACTTCCACCACCCCGGTATACAGTCCACCAGCGTACCCTCTCTGATCAGCACTTTGCAGCCATGACGCGCCAGTTTTTCGTCGGTGGGAACTTCAAGATGAACCCTGCCACGCAGGAGCAAAAACGCGCACTCGTGAAAGTACTCAACGAGGCCACGATCGACCCCGCGGTCGGTGGGTATTCCGAAAGACTTGTCTTGTGACTGCTTCCCGTAGGGAGTTGCTGATGAAGACGCATGACAGAGGTCGTGGTCGCGCCTCCGGCCATCTACCTCCTCGCGCTGAAGGAGATCGTCCGCAAGGAGATCAAAGTGTCCGCGCAGAACTGCTACCTCAAGTCCTCGGGCGCATTCACGGGCGAGATCAGGTGCGATCCTCGTGCGGCCTCCATAATCAGCCCGCACTGAGTGCAGCCCGCAGTCCCGCGCAGCTCGTGGACGCAGGCGTTCCGTATGTGATTCTCGGTCAGTCTCCCTCCGAGTTGTCCCGAAAGCAGACGTGCTTGCTGACCGACGGGTCACAGGCCACTCTGAGCGCCGCACGCTGTTCCACGAGACCTCTGCGTTCGTCGCGCAGAAGACCCGCGCGGCGCTCGACACCGGGCTCTCCATCATCCTCTGCGTCGGCGAGACGCTCGAGGAGCGCGAGGCTGGCAAGACCGCACAGGTCGTCGAGGACCAGCTCAAGCCCGTCGTGGAGGCGCTCAAGCCGGAGGACTGGAGGTGTGTCATCCGTCACGAGCCTGTCGCGGGGGAAGCCAGTCTCTCATTCCATTTGTCCGCGATGATGCGTCGGTGCATGTAGCAAGATCGTGGTGGCGTACGAGCCCGTCTGGGCCATCGGCACGGGCAAGGTCGCGACCTCCGCACAGGCGCAGGAGGCGCACGCCAACATCCGCGCATTCCTCTCTTCCGCGGTCTCGCCCGCGGTCGCAGAGAGCACGCGGGTAATCTACGGCGGGAGTGTTACGGCAGCGAACTGCAAGGAGCTCGGTGTGTATCAGGCTTCATACATTCGTCTGCCCGCTGTGCCAGTTATTGGACACACCTTCGGTGTCTGTGAGGTTCGTGCTGCTGACTTTGTGTCTCGTGTCCTGCAGGTGCGCAGCTGGACGTGGACGGCTTCCTCGTCGGCGGAGCGTCGTTGAAGCCCGAGTTTGTGGACATCATCAACGCGAAGAAGGCATGATTCCGCAAGCCCCGGGAGCCGAACTGCGTCTCTGCTGGACGTCAGTCGAGCGATTCGCGGGAGTAATATGTGAGAAGTCTGGGGTGTGTGACATTACGAGGAGAAGCAAAGGAAAAACGTATGTAGTATAACGCACGATGCACAATGACGTTCCGCTCGAGATCCCCGGGGTTTGCTGCCCCTGTCTTGGTGAGATAGCTAAAGCCTCGCGGCCGTTCGGATGCTTCTCTGAGTCTGAAGTCTGGCTTTCAATATCCCCACCTCTGCGCGCAAACTGCATAGTACCGTTTCCCAAGGTTCCGGACGCCGAAGGTACCCTAAACCTTCGTCCTGATTAATGATTGCGGGCGAGACTGTGGGTCGGATTCCCCACTCTAGCCTTGTCTATTGCATTCCGATGTCTGCCCTGGCAAAGAGGCAGTGGCGTCATCGGATTCTCCCACACGAGTTTCCGTCCGACAGGTCGTGTCTGTTACGCCGGTCCTAATCTATAGAACGGGGCATTCCATAACCCATTCGCAACCGAGACGTGATGAGCAGACGTACTTGAACACAGTGGCGCCACCCCCTGCGTTCCTACGGGCACCTTCCCTGGCAGCGATACGGAAGCTGAAGGATATCACCAATGTAGACCGGATTGATAGAGTGCATCTGACCGTGTAACAGCGCGTCCAATCGTGGTGTCTTCACTTCCACAGCTAGTCAGTTCTAGGATGCAAGACAATTGCAGCACGATGGGTGTCTCAGTACATGCATTCTGTGATGCGGAGCCACAGCTCGGACCCGATCGTGCTACTAGTAGTAGTGCAATTAGTTAACACTTGACCATATCCTAGAGTAAACTTAAAATTGCGCTGCGAATCACTAAAGAGGGACGCACACAAAGGCATTTCATTCGAGGTTAAAAGAGGCCTCAGGTACTATCTGAATGGCACAGGGAGTCGTACGTACTGCACACCCCTTGATATCCTCCGAGGCCGTCTAAGTGATCAAACACAGTGATAGTCCTGCCGGTGACAGTATGAACCCCGTGCTTTAGCTCATTCCGTCTATCTAAGCTGCTCGGTCTTCCCTGGAATGCGCAAGAAGAGCTGTAAGCGACACGGGCTGCGAGGCCATTGGGTGCCCCTTCCGCCGCAGTTTCTACGCATGCGCGATAGGATCAAACACCAGGTGTTCGAGTGCGAACGGGGGCGGCTCGGGCTGCTACTAGCCATCCAATCGTCTAGCCCACAAGCTGACAACCTTTCCACAATGGGCCAGTCCAGCACGCTACTCGTCTCTTATGCTGACACAGGCGCATGCACAAGCATCGGACTTGCTTACACAACGCCACTCGTCTCATCGAGAGGCGTCTCCGCCAGATCTCTCCAGAGAGTACCTTTATCAGCATGCGGCGAACAGCAGGTAGCCGAAAGTGTAAAGACAGCTTGTACAGGGCGCGATATTGCGTGCGGCCCACTGGCGAGGGTCTGATTGATCTGTATGTACGTTCCTCGGGTCAGTCTTGTACGTCTGTCGGCCTATCAGGTAATGTAATGGAATGGGTGGGTCGACATGAGACTGAAGACATCCTGACCAGGGTGGGCGAGAAGCGTACATTCATGCCAAAGCCCACTGTCTACATGGGGCTCTACCGGCTCGCCATGGAGATAAAGGGGCCAGGTAACCGAGAAGTGGAGACTCTACGGCGGCGTTTGCGAGTCGATTTCCGGCGCGAGGTCTCACGGGGAACAAATGGGTTCAGCTGACTGTAGAGAAAGAACTCGCGACATGGCGACCCAGCCAAGACGATCATATTGTAAACGTCGTTGACCCCGTCGACCTCAAGCAGCCAAAGCGTGCCGTCTGATCGAGACAATTGGGGAGACAATCCGAGGCTTCCACATAGTTCGACTGCTGTACCCGGCTCAGTAGCTCGGAGCCCAGAGACCGTCAAACAGCGCAGACAGCATGCGGGGCGGCGCAGATCGCAGAAATCAGCATTTGAGGCGGCTCCCAAAGACTCGAAGCGGTGTGTCAAAGTGGTACGATACATGCCATTCGCTGGCAAGTTTTCATGGATAGCAGCCGCTCGAAACCTATACGGGGTGAGTGTCTCTGGAAGGGTATACTCGCTTACCACATCCGCCACTCATCGACACGGTGCAGCTGCTCAAGCGCTCACTGTTCGTTAGCGGCTTGGAAGGATCGTGCGTCATCCAATTCCCAGATCTTGTCTTGTCTTGGGATCCTCTTCGTTTTAGTACTACCTAAGGTGGAAGGTGGCACCAGGAACCAACTGAAGGCGGACGTCGACGCGCGATGTCCCGTCCGACCTCACCAATGTCGTCTGTGCCCTGACAAAAGACGGTCGGTCGAATGGTCAACTGACCATAGGCGAACCGCTGGGGCTGCATATCGCACAGGAAGGATATAGCTTCTTGGAGCCAGCATATGCCCCTTGGGACAGCAACGATGCGGTCGTCATCGAGCTAGATAATGACATGATGTGGAGGAAGGCTGCCCGTGAGACTCCACATGCACTTTCATCACAAGACGACGATCGTTAGCAGATGCGTGGAGGGGCCCATGAGGTGCATGCATTCAGTGACCGCACGGTCAGACAGGGCGACCACCAGCCTGACGTCTGGCTCACTGTCCACTGGCATGCGACGAGATGACTGCTCCCTCGGATGATTTGCACACAGGTAGGTCAGCCGAGTTTAGGTTGTTGAAGAGGAAATGAAACATTCACGTCTTCTCAAACGCTGGACAGTGAGGCAACAGCCCGAGTGCGATCCGCCTGACATGTTCACCGACCGAGAGATCGAGGCGTGCCACACGCATCGCGAATGGCCTCAGCCAGATCTCCACAATCCCGGCAGTGGCGATCGGTTTGCGTCCTCGCTCGACAGCTTGACGAGGCGACGCGTGTGTCTCTCCATTCCGGTGCTGAGGTGCATCGTGTGTCATGTGTAGGGCCCTGCGAAAGGTACCACGCGCGACAGACCGCATCCAATGCCGACCGTCCTGAGCGCAGCACCGTGGCCACTCGACCATCCCATCTCGGATGGGGCACATGTGCATGTGTGTGCGTCTTCGCTTTCTCCAGGCCATTGCGCCTTCACAATCTGAATCAGCATCGCCAGAGAGCTCAAAGACACATACCTCACCGGCCTGCGACATCACTTCCAAATCGATCCGAGCGTCAGGCGATGGCGCCCGATCAGCAAGATTTTCGACTTATGTGCCCACCGCAAAGAAATGTCCAACATGCGAGAGACGACACCATGAGCAACAACGAACCGCTCGGATCAGACTCTATCATACATCAACATCGACCGCAAAGCAGAATCAGGACGGACACCGTGACGAACGAACATCCATGTCGCCACTCATCACCAGCTCCTGGTCGACTTCATCGTCCGCAGCTCCGACAGCTGTATCGCAGGAAGCTGCGAGCCGCTCTCGACGGTAAACACAGGCATCTCGTTCGTCGTCGGCAGCCGCGAGTCCTCGACCGTCACCGAGAACGACGTACAAGACAGCTCTTGCTCCGCCCGAATCATCCCCCGGACGTTGAGACACAGCCGATTTCCCAGTATGCACGACAGTGCCACCGCAAAGCCGACCGGGATCTCCACTTCCGCTGTCTGTGCGGGGGGAAGAGGGGAGGGGAGGGGAGGGGGGGGGTTATCAGCCCTCTCGGCAGCTCTCCGGCAGCGGGCACACGTACCGTCCCGACGACGAACACGATCGCGTTCACCAGATATGTGGCGAACATCCTACGGGTGCCACACACATCAGCATTCACGCACCACCGCGCGCACACACACACCGACGCCGACGCCACATCTCGGACCTGGCAATCTCAGCTGCGCGAAGCGAACACTCACACAATGAAATAGAACACCGAGTCGCGGATGAGCCGCTCGACGAGCCGCATCCCGGACATGAACAGCGTCGAGCGCGCGCGGTGCGACTGCATGAAGCGCACGAGCGCGAGACCGCACAGCACGCTCTCCGATACGAGCATCGGGATCCAGAACGCGTAGAAATGGGCCGAGATCCCGCTCGCGTAGCAGAACGAGTACCCGGGGAACGGGTGTGCCGTCGCTGATAGCGGAGAGCGGTGCAAGTCATCAGCATGCAGCGGGGTGCGGATGAGAGCCGGCAAGAGCGTACCTGTGATGTTGGCCAGGACCGAGCCCATGATCGCCGCGGAGGACGCAGCAGCGGCAAGAGAGCACGTCACCATGAAGATCAGGATACGCTTGTCGAGGAGGTATAGCGCGTACAGCCTGAGTTGGAGGATGACTGGTGGTAGTGTGAGTACCGGTCGCGAGGAGGCCATGATTACTTACGTTCGGCGATCACAAAAGTGATGACGCCTGTCCAGCCTTGCCATCGATACCAGGTGAGACCTACAGTGTGAATTTCAGTTGTCAACGATACGAGTGATTGTAGGCATGATAGGTACAGCTGCCAAGATCAGTTCAGATGGGCAATGGTGGGCAATTTCGTAATGGCACCTACAACTGTAACCGACAGAGGTTGGTCAAATATGAAGAAACGTCGAGTAACGTGCTACTCACGCTATCAGTGATATGTGGACTGAACAATGCTGCATGGCAGATCGCTGTCGTCACCGTGAGGAACACATATATCGAAACGCGGCTACTTGCCATAGTTGTTGAATCTGCACCGGAAGAGACTGTGAGCGAAGCCAAGAGATGAGATGAACGGGTACAGCGCACATAACTGTAATGAGCGTGTAATAACGGTTCTGAGATACATGGTCAGCGAAATGAGCAGAATGGAGATTGTGGACGTGACGCTTACAATAAGAAACAAGCACTTTCCCGGTGACCATGGGGAACTCTTCCCAGCACGAGTCAATGACCATCTCCAAGATATGAGGTCAACGATGGAACGCACCCAAATGAGCTCGTACTATCCACGCGGAGATGTTAACCGCGTCCACGACATCAAGCAACGAAAGAGCACACCTCCTGGTCCAGCGTCAGAACTTGAACGATAACGTGAGCACTCATTCGCGTGTCGGTCAGCTAGAACATACGTTGGTCATAAACAATGATTATACTCGACGCCACTGCAGATCGGCAGGTCGTGTGTCAGCATTCCAAGCAAGGCGGGTGTGGCGCACACGCACGCTCAGAGTACCGGATGGTCTGGACGTCCTTGAGAAAGACACTGAGAATATCCGCGGTACTTTTCATCGCCATCGCACAGGGCAGGCCTAGGTAAGGAACGAAAGCGATGGAAGGAAGGGGCAGGAGAGGAAAGTCATGGGCGGCGGAGAAGAAGAGGTGGTGAGATATGAGAAGCCACTTAAAAACGTCCGTGAGGCCGCCCAGGAGCCAGGGTGCTTGTCGTCGCGGTCATCATGCGTGGTTAGTTAGCCCAGAATCCGATCGCTTGAGGAGTATTCCGCGCAGAACAGTGCGATTGGGCACAAACGCCCATAGCCGGCTACACTGCGCCCGAGTCTTGTGGTGCCTGGGGGGCCATTTACCCCGGCGCTTCCATTCCCGCTCCAGAACAAAAAGATAAACTCTCCAGGATGAATCCGCGCCCTCCGTTCCGTCCGCAACTCGCTAAGCCTTCGTTCATTATGCAGACCAGCAATCTACCCTACCGTGCAAACTTGCATGCCCACGATTGTCATGCCAATAATCGCCCGGACCAGCCTATTCATGGTGAAGAAGCATGTATGTGGGAAGGCGCAGGAGGCCGGGATATTCCTACAGGTGATGATAGCGCGCTGCAGCGCTGACCGACTCTACCAGGGGTCTCGTTGAAATCGCGCTTGTTCCAGCAGAAATCGCCGGCGATACAATTATGCGTACGCACTACGGACAGCGGTTTTTCGCGATGGCCCCATCTCAGTAAATTGATCGGTCTGGCGGTCCTCGTGGAGTACTGCACTGAAGATGGAGCAATTTTACCCAGTTCCGTCTCATCACAGCGGAGAACATTTCGAGTCGAGACTGCAATTTTCGAAACGAGTCCGAGGTCCGAGCATAGCTTGCAAAATTGCTCCGGAGACGAGTGGGACCAAGCCGGGTATACATACGAACACGCGTCAAGCCCGAGGAGTGATTGTCCACCTCGAGATCGGTCAGTACCGGTCAGTGGTCGCCCCGGTGTATAGACTGACAAAAGAGACTGATAGGTCCAAGGAAAATGCCAGCCTGTGCTGCAGGTGGCAGATCCGGAGTTTGTTTGACTCCAAGCTGATGGCAGCAAGTCGACAACCATTAATTCGCATCACGTGCGTGACTTCCAATTCTCTTAAACTTCGCGGTATGAATTGTGCGCATCGAGTATATGCAGTGATGGCAGTGTCTCCATGTGTAGCGAGACACTAATGAAGTCAGCCAAGACGATGCTCGGCTAGGCGAAAATGGTACGATGCTATTCTTCGGGACAAATTTGCGCTAGCGTATACCAGGATATATAGTAGTAATGACGATTCTGTGAACGTCAGCCACCGCAGATTCATGAAGTTTTCTGGTAAGACGAGAATTTTTACTGTCACAAGTAATCATCCTCTGCACAAAAAAAGTGTTACTATTCAGTCGAATCGATCTGTCAGACGCACCTGGATGGATTATGATCATGTGTGAAACGCGGTCTCTACCGTATCATTGTGCGCTCATGCATCATGCTACAGGCTTCGCAATCGATCCCACATCCACATCCGTCTTTGACTACCGTTTGGCCGTGATCGCAGCATAGCCTAGGAGGATGTCGAAGATGCGCGCAGTTTTCGTGTCAACGAGCGAAAACACTCTCGACAGTCGTACAAGATGCAGTCATGTTCCAGATAATATGGTTCGCTATGACATGACCGCCTTCGTGTCCCAGGAGCATCAATCTCTCCGCGAAGCAGGGTCTATGGCGTTCACTCCATCTCTTGTCTAGTAATTCACCAGCAAACCTATCACGCCTTCAGGGTTCCCCGTCGACGGATCTCCGCGCGTAGAAGTTCCTGCGCCACATACTTGATCACATTGGCACCCCTCTCACGATGACATTCTAAGCAGAGCGCTTTTGCATCCCTAGGGCTGCGTCCTCAAATTTGAATTCTCGTCAATACAGGGGGTGGGTAGACGCCTGAGCAGACCCAGTAAGATACAGGGTTCACCACAATATACCACATACCGGCATCACTCATGATGCTAGCTGAACAACATAGTGGTCGTGCCCAAGCATTGAAACCTCCGTGAACCCGCGCGTCTGCAGCTGTCATGTTGTACAGGTACCCACTGTCCTCGAATCAAAGTCAGAAATAGACCTGTGATCACAATTCTGGTCTGAATGAAGTCAGACTATACCATGAGCGCAGAGGCCGGCGAATACATCCCCGGCAAATGTATAGATGCTATCTTGAACGAAGCAGAGGCGTTCATCGTAGACATGGTGATAGCGATACGTCATAGCAGAGACGGTGCTATCGCGACCAGGGTGCACTAGAAGGACAGCGCGGTCTGATCGATACAGAAACGCTGAGCAGTGAGTCTCGTACACATACATCAGTGTGTTTTTGGTGAGACGCTCTTTCCCGCCGTAGAAATCGGGCCAGCGTGACGGATGGACGATGAGAACTGCACGGGCGGTGTGGTCGGCATTCTTCTTCTGCTGGAGCTATTCCAAGGATACCAGGTAGCCATTTCCCGTATCACCAGACCGTGTCATCTCCGTCGATTCTCCGATGTCAGCGCATTATACACACACCACAACGTCCCTTCCCCAGCCACACTGTACCATACGTCGCGAAGGATGACACCACTCGCTTTCTGTCTTTGGAGCGCCACAGTAGTCTGATAATGTGTAGCTCACGCTGAGATGGTTTGACTAGAGCGAAGAAGCCGAGTCAAAAATCCATGACAGTTCCAGATGGGTCCGAGGGAGACGACATATCAATACCTCGGGGTTCTCTGGATAGTTGACTATGTTGCGCATCTTGTGCGTGATGGTGGGGTCCGTGGAAACTTTGGGGACCGTTTTCCTCACGGTGAGATGGTTGGTGCCGTTTGCGAGGTCATCTCAGTAGGACGACCACCGGCTGTGACAGACAGTTTCACGTCAAGAACTGCACACGGGGGGCCCTCCACGCATGTCTGGTGTTTTTGGTGGTTCGATCTTCTACCCCCGGGGTTTACGCAACGTGAATGTCTCATGGAAGACTGAAGTTCTTAATAATATAATGTCACACCACTAGTGGGTGTCAGCTGCTAAAAACTGCAGGTACATGCATAAGCTTAACGGTAGGATCAGAGTCAGGTCCACCCACTAGTGCATGCCCGTTCGGCAATGAATCCTGCATGTCAGAAACGAAATGGTCTGATCCTCCTGAATGAGAATCGCAGCCCATATATCTGAATTCGTGGCCTGAGAGATTCATGAAGAGATCCTGCACTTTGAAAGTCAGACCCACGAGAAGCAAGCCTGGATTGGATTATAGCCGAATGAGAGCCGGAAGCAGCCAATTACACTTGAGTTGAGATGAAAGACAAGCCTGGGGCAATAAGGCACGCAACCAATAGAATGTGAAAGCCAATGCGAGCGCCCAGGCGCCATAAGCTGGGAATTTGACGGACTTGTCTCTTGCTCTTACCTCCCGCTTTTCCTCTTCTGTCCCGTACATCACGCTCAATGCCCCCTCGTTGAATATTGTATACTAAGCTATGGTCAAAGTCGACTCCAGATCCCGCCATTCTCCTCTTGTTAGTATTGGGATCACACAAATGCTCGTCCCATCTTTCACTCAGTGTGGTTATGGAGGGATCGGCCTTGCCAACAATTTTCTTGCCAGTCGTCACTTTCACTAGTACTACGACGGGCGTAGAATCATCGAGCGGCCGGTGGCCACGCTTCCGATCGCGCAACACTGCATCATCCTGCATCGAGGATGGCCACTTGCACTTGTAGTCGTGTGGTAAGTCGTTCTTGATATATGCTAGATTGGTTTTGATGGGAACATCTCACCCTAGTTCGTGGTGATTTTGCGTGTTCAGCCTGTTGGATGCATCCCAGTGTAAGAGTCTTATACAGACAAAGCGGAGCGAGTGGAGGGCACTCGATCCATGACTGTCCGTACACCGGCCGTTCGTTTCAAACAGTATCTGTCCTCGTTTTTCTCGACTCTCCGTAAGCGAAAAGGGAATGGGGCGTTGCGGGACCTACAGGATGGGGGTGAACTTTCTATTGGAGAAAGTTACGGTGAGTCTGTTACTGAGTCGTATTCATCAGGTCGAGCTGATTCATGTTACTCAGTCACCTTAGGGCTGATAGAACATGTGATAGAAATTGAACAAGTTTCCATAATTACGGAGAAGCTTTCCATTCAAATCCCAATTATTCAACTCCCAGTTGAAATATGGGATATAATCGTCGATTTCGCAGTCGCCGAGAGCCGCGCCCGCTTCGAAGACGGTCAGCGCTGGCTGCAAAATTATGGAGGCGTTTGTCGGGCATGGTATCTGCGTTGCCGATTCCACGCGCGGCAAGCAATTTCCTTGAGCAACAAGACGACGATTCACACTCTTCGTTTGATCAAGATGTTAAAGGGCCAGCCAGAATATGCTTCGGGCATCGATGCGGTGTGTATTGATCGGAATATTGAGGTGCTAGGTCCTCTTGCGACATATATGGCGCAGAAGCTGCCTCGGATGGCAACGCTGGATGTCTTGCACTGCTGTTGGAGAACAGGAGAACCACGCACGCGGATTTTCCACCGGATGAGTGCAACGTTTCAGTCAATGACGCGACTCCGACTCTTTGCAGTTGTATTCTCGTCGCCTGTCATCCTCGCGCGGCTGGTGTACTCGTTCCCCCATCTTTGCAGCCTGACGTGCGTTGCAGTGACGTTCGAAGCGCTCGTTCTCGTCCCAGGTCCCTTGCCTTCGCTGGAGGGTATCAGCCTGCAAGACGTGCGCGTTGGTGCTCGCGACGACGTGGTTGGGCTGCTCGTACATAGCTCGCTTTGCGAGAGAGTCCGAGAAGTGACTCTGGAGTGTATAAGTGCTCGGGAATGCCAGAGACTGGTGGACACTGCAGGCGAATCACTGTCCTACCTCAACATATGGCCTTGCAGGAAAGATACTTATCGTAAAGACTATAGGGGTTGGGATGGTGCGTCACAGTCCGAACCTTCTGGGAGGCGACCCACAGCTGAGGTTCCTCGATAGATTTCCCCCTTGATATCACACCGGCCGTCAATCTACATGCACTTCGAGTCAGCCACTTCTCTTTTTCTTCTATCCACTGGCTTGCAGCCTTCCTGTCCCGTGCATCACTACCTCAGCTTCACGAGATCGAGGCGAATTTTCCATTTTACGCAGTCACCGAGACTCAGCTGTGGCAGGCAGCCAGTGGGGTTAACGACTATTATTTCACGCTAATCGACCTACTTTTGTCCGGGCCTCGATACCCTGCCATTGCCTCGGTTACGTTCAAACTTGATGTTGCCAGTTACCGCAGATCGGAAGTGAAGGATGTGCCATCTGAGGAGGCCTGGCGGCTGTGTCTCGCGTCTAGGCTTCCGAGGTTACATAGAAGACGACGTCTTCGGTGAGCAAGCTGCGGTTTCAAATCATAATTGGTCTCAGAACTGATCGCGTCTTTCTCGTGAACACAGGACACCCGTAGTGGTGAATGTTAATGATGAATGGTCATGATGAAGTCTTGATCCAGGTGCCCTCGTGCCACAAGTAATTGTGATAGGCCATCGACCCAGCATTATAGGAAATTGATATCGATCATCTGACTGGCAGCTGCAGCAGTTCACGGATTCTCGCTACAGAAGCAGGGTAAGTATACAGGATTAGTTTGAAGTACGAACGCCATTTTCACACTGGCACTCCCTCGTCGTAGAAACTTTGTGATAAAATTTACGTCCAAGGAAAGCTGATGACGTGTTCTGTCGATGGTTGAAATCAGAGAGCTTACGCTTGAAGTCTCTTCCATCCATCGATTGGATAAAGATTGTATCAGTATATATGTACGGGATATCTGCTGTGCTCAATATGTTGTACATGGCATAATCCTACAGGACGTAGTGAGCTCATGGTGTCTATTGTGCTACATTTCCAAACTGGTGAATACGTAAAGCGGGCGGGGAAGAGGAGAATGGAATTGAAGACACTGGATGTCTTAGATATGAGGTGTTTGACATTGGAGGTGGCTAGACAGCTCTCCTGCGCCTGAGCCGCACAGGCACATTCTTCACCCCGAGGACCAAAAAGAATCTCCCATCGAGCACCCTACTTCGCCACTGATCTATTGTCTCACCTTCCTGGAGCAATGGCTCTACGACCCAGTCACGCAGACACATGGTAAGGAAGGCAACAGCTTCCGTCGTAGAAAATCTCCGTCCAAGACAGATACGCGGGCCTGGTCAATGTCGTTAAGCCAACCTGTAAACGGAGCGAAGTGGGCACGCTCACCGTGACCAAATGCTGCGAGTGTGTCGCCTTTAGCGTCTCCTTCCCAGCGTGATGGAATGAACTTTGTTGGATCCGGGAAATAATGGGGATTGTAGTCTAATGGTAATCATGATCAGTGCGATTTCTTCGTGACTACGTGCATTCGCTCACGATAGCCCAAAACGTCAAGAGCCACCTGTTCAGAAATATCAGCATCAAGGACACAGTACAGCACTGGGTATTCAACATACTATAGTACCTTTCGGCACTACAAGTGTAGTCTTCTCTTCGGACGTCAAGGATACGGGAATAGGAAGTGGAATGTCTTCTCCAGCTTCGCGGAATATAGCAACTACAGTGGGAAACATACGTGTTCCTTCAAAGTACGCATACAGAGCCTTGTTGAGATTGTGATAATCGTTGGCCGTCTGCAATTGAGAATTGTACATTCAGCCAGATATCGCATATTGAAATCTCGGTGAATACCCACAGGATCTCGGTCAAGTCCCACTACATCCAGTATCTGGCTATAAATATCATCTTGCACTTCCGGATGCACTGCCAAGAGAGCAAATGTTGCAGCCAGGGTGTGCGCGGTAGACTATAGCACGTCTCAATGTATGATATTAGTTTTTCTGCAATCCTTACACACCTCGTAGCCCGCAAACAGCATGAGAAAGACGTTTGACATCTAATTCAAACTTGTAGTTGAACGTCATGCAGCAGGCGAGATTAAGTGGATCTGCTCACCAGCTCGCTATCTGATAATGTCTGCTTACTACCGTTCATGACATCGTTGCCATTTGCGCGGACAAGTAAACTGAACATATCACGATCGCCCTCTTCATTCATAGCCACCTGTGTCCTGACATATGCCTGGCGTTCATTTACGCGTTCCCTCATATACTTGTCGACCACTTGTCTTACAGATCGGAATTCACGCAGACTGATGAGCGAGTCAATTCAAAGTTAGCCAATTTAGGAGGTCTAATAGCCACTCACGCCTTAAATGGTAGCTGCATCATAGGTTTAGGGAGGTACTTGAAGGGAGACGGGAGTGAGAGGATTCGCATGGCCTCAGGAATAGTCATATTCCCAGTGTCTGTATGCGCCTCATCGGACCAAGACGTATTCAGTCCAAATCCACAGACGACAATAATCAAGAACGTAAGCTGAACAGTGTATAACATATCAGCTGTCGTTGTGAGGTCACATTAATTTCGAGCGAAAAGGGCACCTTGGAAGTCACAGTCTGGATCACAGGAATAGAAGCAAACTCTGTTGCAGACCAGCCCTCATCCCTTGTCCAATCATAATATGCTTGCACGGTTTGCTCCCAGATGTGGGTATACCTGAATGAATAAATCAGTCGTGTTTATTCTGTTAGTGTGAGTTGCAACTTGAATCATTAACTGACAAATTGTTATTAAAGGCCGCCCCAGTGATTCTCCTATGCCTTTTCCATTCTTCCTTCTTCGCCGTGTGCACATTTACACCCCATTCTCTATATCCTGGTACTAAGCACGTAACTTAGAATCGATGAGATTGTGGCGTACTGGAAAGTCGTTCCCGGATGCTTAATCCAGGGAGTTTTGACACCACCCGCCAGAACTTGACGAAATATTTCAAAGTTGGCCGTATATATCATCGGATTACCGTATGCGTATGGAACGACTGATACGGTATCCATTCCGAACCGCTCATAGACTTCAAACACTGCATCAGAAATGAATAACGAGAGGCAAGTGTGTGTGCAAACGTACACCCAAAGAGTCGCTTCTTCCAATGCCACATCAAACCCGGGTTCCACGGATTGAAAAGTCCCGGAGGTGACATGGGCGAAAATGCGCATCTCACTCCAGGTAGATGGCTTACATTCTACAATCGATCACCATTATGATTGGGACCACAGAAGAGCCAATATTCGTTGAGCACTTACTCGCAATGCCTTAACATATCCAACCACCTTTAATACCACGAGAATCCCAATAACCGCGGTCACTATTTGAGCCCGGCTCAACGTCCAGTCGGACAGAGCGAGATGATTTGGCCAGATGCGAAGAATGGATCCTGCTCTGCCTGTAAATTGACTGTTACAGATGCTTTGTCAAGATGTTCTACCTTGGGTCTCCTCCATTAGAGATGAGAGTCGATTACGGGAGTAGGGAAAAACCACTCTGTCCGAGTGCTATCGTCCACCATTCCGTGCTTATATATGTGAACGACTGTCGGAGAATCTGCTAGCTTGGACACCATTTCCCGTGAAGGACCTCAATACATTGTTACGGCATCTTGCAGTACTAGTGTCATGATCAAGATGCCTAGCTCGATATCATGCTAGTATCGGCCAGCTGACAAGATGTGCAGGTTGCTAGTGGCGATAGCTGCACGCTTCTGTCAGTTGATTACACCATATTGAATGGCGATGTGGATACATACGCGCTCATACAGATCCAAAATCGTGCACCTCTGGACCAGCTACCTGATGAACGAGTTGATCAGTAGCCATGCTGGGATTAACGGGCGTCTTTATTGCGCTAGGACAAAGTGGTTGATGTAGTGTTGCCCAATTGGGCGAGAATGATGTTAGTGTCCTTCATCTTCATAATCATTTCGTCGGTATAAGCTGCGTGGCGAGGCCTGGGTGAGTCGCATGCAACTAAGCTCCGAACAGAACGCGAAGAAGCTGCCTTATAATGGAGCCGATATCAACAGGGAAATCTAGAACATTATCATTTAGTTCAATATCATACATATCTGGCCTATCAAATGAAAATGGTGATGTTCTGAACTCTTATAAATCTGATGTAGACAGGAAATCCCTGGGGGAAAAAAGATCAGAACTGCTAGATATATCCACTGCAATATCGGGAAGGGCAAAACACACCTTACAACCAGTGGACATCTGACAGAAAAATCAATGACCCCGCAGCCCGACGATCATACAAGGGTTCTACGCGTCAACCGGATAGGAACGTCCTTGATTGCGAGGACCAAGAAAAATCTTGCATCGAGGACCTTCAGGCGCCAATCCTCTATCGTCTCGCCCTTCTCGAGCAAAGGCTCAACCTTCCAGTCACGCAGCCACATTGTAAGGAAGGCTACGGCCTCAGTGGTCGCAAATCTCCGTCCGAGACAATTGCGCGGGCCTGATTACGAATTGGTATCGTCAGATCCTCAGAAGTGTTTATGAGCAACGATGTCTCACCATAGCTGAACCCTGCGACAAGTTCGACTTTATTGTCGCCTTCCCACCGTGAAGGATTAAACTGAGTTGGGTCGGAGTAATATCGTGGGCTATACTCTGAAGATGTCTTATATATAACAGGTCATAACGAAGCATAAAGTAACTCACGCAGTGCGACAGCATCAATGACAATCTGGAGAAACGTGAGCTCTTGGAGGAATTCAACCGACGATGTCTACAACGTACAGATGTGCCCTTTGGCGCCACGATGGTTGCATGTTCACCCGAATCAAAAGCAGCAGGGACCTTAAGCTCCACATCCTCGGCCGCAACACGAGTCGATGCGAATGACGCTGGGAACATGCGACTTGCTTCATAGAATACATTCAGAACCTTGTCAAGCTCATGGTAATCACCGACTCTCTATACAATGGAGTAAAGAAGATCAGATGAACGAGGGTCACATGCCTTTTTCCAATGAACACTTACTGGATCTCGGTCACATCCGACTACGTCCATGATTTGACGATGAACATCCTCCTGTGCCTCAGGATGTGCAGCCAGGAGAGCAAACGTTGCGGCAAGGCTGTGCGCTGTGGTCTGTGACGACATCTCAATAGGGCCCGGATGTGCATCTGATTTGACGCACCTCGTACCCCGCAAATAGCAACAGGAAAACATTCGCTATCTAGTTCGATTAGCGCCAGGCTGCAATGGGAACAAACGACAGCGCTCACCAATTCATCATCGGTCAACGTAGACTTTTGATCGTGTGCGGAGTGCACATTCCGTTCATTAGCGCGGACCATTAGACTGAAGACATCTCTATCGCCTTCTTCGTCTAGATTCATCTGTTTCTGTATTATAGCTACGCGTTCATTGATTTGTGCTTTCATATAGCCATCCAACATTCGATGAGCAGTTTGAAGGGTACGCAATCTGCAACATAGATGTCACGATCGAAATACCAATGGAAGCCATGGTTGACATACGACTTAATTGGCAATTTGGACACCCATTTGGGAAAGTGGCTGAAGGGAGATCGGGTCGTTACAAGACGTAATGCCTCGGCGATAGTCAACTCTCCGCCTTTCTCTCGCTTCTCTTCCGTCCAAGACGTCTTCATTCCGAAGCCACAGATGGCGATGATGAGGAACGCGAGCTTATATGGAAATAATAATCAGCTACGTCAGAGTACCATGCATCCTTGTGTGCACGAAGTGATACCTTGGATGTATATTCCTGAAGAACTGGGATTTCGACAATCTTTTGGTCACACCATTTTTCGCCTTGCATCATGGCCTCGTACATGAGGACGGTCTGCTCCCAGACGAGGGCATACCTGAAAATTATCTGATGTGAACTCCCTACGCTGATGCAATAGTCCGGAATCGACTTACATGCTGTTGTTGAAAGCAGGCTGGATGACCCTTCGGTGCCTTAGCCATATATCCCCTTCAGCAGTCAAGACATTCGTACCCCACTCGCTGAAGGAGTTTTATAGGATAATTGCAGAAGCGAAGGGAGGACTCACTTGAACGCACTCAGTCTAGGTTTGACCCATGAGGAATTAATGCCGCCTCCCAGGACCTGATGGATGACCTCGAGGTTGGCCGTGTAGAATGCAGGCTTGCCCGATAGAATTGGGACCACCGATACTGTGTCTGTGCCATACTGTTCATAGACTGTTGGAAAATTGAATATAATGCACACTTAGTGAAAAGTGTGTTCATGTATGCGTAGAAACACACAATCAAACGATCGCTTCTTCCAGTGCCACATCACGCCCGGATTTATCGGATTGAGCACTCCGAGAAGTGAGAACGGCGCGACGGCGCATCTCAGCCCCGGCCAATAGCTGACGGTCTAGAAATCAAGGGTCGATCAGAATCAACGAAGCAAGGTAAACTTGATTCGTGTAGAAGGAAACTGTAGCCAATTGCCTGGTAGAAGGATACTCACTCGCAACGCATCGTAAAACTTGACAACCCGTGATACAAGAAAAATCGAAAATATCGCAGCTACTGCGCTAGGCCAGCTTAATGTCCACTCCGTCATGTTGAATATTGGAGTGAGTCGGTCAATTGAAAGACTTGCTGGCGATGCGGTTCAGTCTGCTCGTCTCTGTATTCGGCATAGACGATGCTCACCGCTACTCCGATCCTTTGCCCTTCGGGAAGACGATTGGAAGCAAAGGAAATGTGAAAAAATCACAGCGAATGTGGATCTTGTTCGGCATAGCATTCACAGTTTTATACATCGCCCGTTATCTCTGTGGGTTACCTTGGGGCACAGGACATCAAGCACTCTCACGTGGAGCCACCGTCCATGAAGGCATAGTGTCCGAATCATCGGAGAGCAAATTCAACAAGGGCGACTTATCCGCGCAACACTTCTACAACCAGCCCGCCCTCATTAATCAGCGTTACGAAGGTCGAGTGGAACGATTATCTAGGAACGCACATTTTTCACGATCACGACGTAGCCATCTCAGCACATGACGATCAACAGAATACGGGACCACCCTGACTAGGCTTGCTATGATACGCCCGTCGCTCTTTAGGTGGGGTGATTCTGTGAAGGATGGCCTGGCCATGAAGAGGAATTGATGCCCAGACAGTGACCGGGATGTCGTACAATGCCCACTTCTGTGCATAGATCACGATTCCTAAGAACGTCAATGTTGCAGAGTACGGTCTATGATTACACTTCTAGCTGTGCATCGAGGACTTACTGTGCCTCCACAAACGCACGATACATCGCCAACTCTGCGTCACCCGAGTTTACAACTTTCAGCGCGGTCCCGGCGCCCACGAATACCACATCACCCTTCGCGACGTTCAATCTCCCACCAGCCTCCCATTCTAGCGCGCCCGTCCCCCCTGTCACAATCGCAATGCTCGGGCCATCAACAGCTGGATGTGCCTCGCTCTCGGCAGGAGGCACTAGCACTTGCAATACCGAGAACTCAGGAATCGGCGGGTCGTACAGCTTCGTATACGCAGTAGAGGCCCAACCCACTGGCTGCACCATGTGGCGTCTCGCATCACCCGCGCCATATGTCAATCCAGAGACGAGATTTGGGATATCGCGCAGCTTAGGCGTCAAACCCGCGCGGATGACATTGTCTGATGTTGCCATGCACTCGATAATATCTGTTCCGACACGATATTTGTCGTCTGTCAACTGAATGGTACCAACTGATTGGACCCGCACCTCCAGTGACATACGCATGCGGCTCGCCCGCTGCGAGGAAAATGGCATCTCCCGGGCCCATCTGTACATAGTTGAGCATGAACGCGCAGAACACCCCAATATCCCCCGGGAACTGGCTGTGCAAGCGCAAAACGAGGTCGCGCACGCCATCTTCCGCATTTTGCACTTCGCGCGCTTCGTATCGCTGCACAAGCTTCTGGAGCTGCGTCTTGAACGCAGACTCTTCGGCCGTCATGACAGCCGCGAAGAGATCTTTCAATGCTGCCTTCTCCGCTGGACCAGATATATTAGAAGACGAGATAGAGACGAATGAGCTGGCTATCGTGGGAGGAATGAGCGCTGCAAACTCGGGTGTGGTTATGAGGAATATGGCAATCTGGGAAAGCGGCAAGAAGCCGCACATAGCAGTGAACGGCGTGAGCGCAAGCGCCATCTCCGGCTTATGATTCGCATCTGTGAATGCGTCGAGAGTGAGTGAACACTGCAAAGGCACAAATGATACAGCGAAGGCGCACCTTTGTACACGTCCGGTCTCTCCTTGTGCAACTGCTCTGCCGTCTTCTTGTCTGGATGCGTCTGGATGCTGAGCGCTTTTTCAATCGCGAGAACCTTGAACAAGAAGGGCAGGTTGCCCTGTCCTGCGCCGGCTTCCCTGAATTTCTCTACGACCTTCTCGCCAATCAGCTCAGGATGCAGTGCGAGATGCTCCGAGAGCGCCACGTCAGAGCCCAGCAAGCGCGAGGGTCCGCTTGTGTGTGTGCCCATCCACAGCTGTAGTTGCCCACCCAGCAGCAATTTGTCAGTTCCCCCTAGAGAGAAAAGGCGAGACACAACTCGCCTCGGCGTAAGGCGCACCCTCGTCGAGCGTGAATCCTGGAACCTTGGCAGCGACTGCATACTGGGCGACCTTCGATGAGAGGCCGATCTTGCCCCAGTCGTACTTCTGCGTCGTCGGAACGATCTTGAACACCGCGGTCATGTTGCTGTTACGCTATGCAACAGCTCTCGTCTGCAGATGTTGAAAGTAGACACTGAGTGAGGTCCTTTCCAATATAAGTTGGCTTTTGAGGCTGTTTCAATCGCAGAGATCTACCCAGAGCTAATCCGAACCTCGGTGACGACTCGGGAGGACGTCGGAACTGCATATATGCGCATCGTCGATCAGCAATAAAGAGCATCAAAACCCGTAGATACCTCAATCCAAGAGTACTAATCGATAGGCAGAGCTGTGGACGTGTTAAATATACATGCGTTCATTCAGCACTGCCCGCGGTCCATCTCATTTGCCGTGCTCAGACTCGGGAGACGCCGACAGTGACGCACGCATGCGCGCTAAGCATAGTACTTGTTTATTCAAACATAGTCGACTCAGAGACCTAACAGAATACGAGAAGAGTGTTAAAATCTCCAACTCATGCATGCCATATCCCATTTCTTGGTAATTCCTGCAGGGATGCAGTACTTCGAGTTGATAGTCATTACAATTAAAACGGAATTTGCACACTAGGTATATAATTACGTGGGTAAACAGTCGAAATGGGCAGATTTCAAGTCTCCCCTGCGTCAGCACCCATCTCCGCGAAGAAGACTTGATGCGTCAGCCATGCAGAAATCGTGATCCGAGTCATCAAGGATATCGTAAGCGAACATTATCAACACAACTTCATTCCTACTTTCAACACTTTCGTCGTGATCAAACCGACGTGGACCATGCCAATATGCGCGCCTATACGAGGAGAAACGCAAGAGTAAAAAATCCTCGTGCGGATAGCACAACACTTCTTCAAACTTGCTGTGTCCCCGGGGAGGCTCCGGCATGCTTCTCGTTCACATAACCGGCAGAAGAGGTGGAATGATTGGCTGTGGCCGCCTGGCGGGCGTACACGTACGAGAGCGCCGCAGACGTCGCGCCAAAGAGGAAGGCAAACCAAGGCAGGATCGCGCCCGTGCGCACTATAATCAGGGAAATCAGTCAGCAATCGTGTTCTGCGGAGAACACACGGAGCACGGCGGCCCGACAGATGAAGAAGTTTATCAAGGCATCAGAAGACGAGGGGGGAAAAAATGCATGAGGCTGATTTTAGAACGGGTGTAGGATTATATGCGGTGTATTGTACTTATGAGGCATAGTTCGTACTATGTTCGAGGGGCATGTAGGCGATGGATAGCGCAAATGAGATGTGCAAACATGCATATACATCCCATCCGAGAGGTACAGCGGAGGAAGGTGGATCCTAACGAAATTAAATCACTCACGGTAGCCCAGTTTGTGATACACTGGTGTAAAGCCAAGCTGCTGCTCAGTTGCCTGGATGATGGTCTGCGACAGCGGCACTCCTCCAAGTGAGGCAGAGATTTTTGCCTGGCGGTTGGCAACAAAATCGGTGAATGGGATGATGGTTGCGAAGAGCCAAATGGTGAGGAATGTGAGGAGATGTGCGCCGAAAAGAGGAACCGTGCGCCGATGGAACGGGCTGGTGAGGCTTCGGAAAAAGGAGTGCACCAGCGCGAGGAGGGAGGTGAGACCTATGAGACCACAAACAACAGTTACAACGACACCGGAGGAGAAGACGTCCTGAGTGTCGATGTTGACAGTCACGCCGCTGGGGACGTCCTTGCGGAGGGTCGATTTCTGCGAGTTTGACTTTGCGAGGGCGTTGATGTCAACACTCAATGCGACGATGCCAAATACGAAAGAGAGCGCGAGGGACACGAGGCGGAGAACAGCGACCGTCTTGGACATTGTGGAGGACGTCGAAGGGGCGATGATGGGACGAGCGGGGGCAGGTCTTACGGTCGATTTGTGGGGCCATCCAGCTTATAAGCCAGGCTAGGACGGCGTCCAGAGTGCATCTGACCCCACTAGAAGATGCACGGACACGTCCATGTGAGTGAAGAAGCATTCTTCAGCCCCCAACGCACATGATCCTGACGCGCTTGCCTCCTCACCTTGCCATATCCGGAAAGTCGCTTTCTACATATAGGCCGGAGGATGCGCAACTGTGGCGGGTCCACGCGCGATCAGTGTGAACGATGACGACACCCGATGACCGATCGCGTGGCGCGACCAAACGGCCGCGCGCGCTGATTGGCTCGGGGCGCGGAACATGTGCTGTCCCCGCATGGAGAGCGCCAAGCGAGTTATGCACGGTGCCCGCCAGTAAGTAAACCCATGTCATACGATCACGCGCGCCCATGAAAGTCGCGAGCGAAAACGTCGAAGGAATTCGAGCCAGGCCGACGTTCAAATGTTCAAAGCTCAAATAAATCCTACACATTAGGAAACTGGGCGTAAGCTAGACATTGGGGATGGAGAGACAGATACTGACGGTAGGATTTGAATGATTCTGAGCAACGCACATTCCACGGTTTGGCAGACTTACCGCTACCGCAACAACAGCGGCACAAATAGAGAGCCAGAAGCACTGCCGACGCATTCATGCCTCTGCCGGTATGTTGCAGTCATCAGAAACCTCAAATGAACAACGCCAGCGCTCCAGTTGGCCAGTGGGAACGGATGATGAGTCAGGCCCTGGGGTTGCGTTGCAGCGATGTGTCGTTTACTCGCACGCAAATCGACGAATAGAGCGTAGTCCTGAATCATGGTCAGTCAGGAAGAACCCCAGATAAAGGACCCGCTGGTCAAACTAGTGTTGCAGAGCACTAGTTTTGAACTGCGGCAAACAGCACATAGCCGCACGCAGAGATCTAGATATTGTCACAGGTATCAGATACACGTGGGGGTAGAGGACACGAAGACAGCGAGCGAGTATATACCAGGAGACATGTCTTTGACTCCGAAGGCCAAAATTCAATGATACTTGCAATTGCAGCATGAGATATTGCATCAACAGAAACTCTTGGCTAAGGTTGCGAACACCATGCTCGTGTTGCCAGTGGAAAAAACCAGAACAAACTAGAATCTGTTGCATTCGTTGAGAGTTGGAAGATACTGGACGTTAGGCATCTGGTCCAGGTCGAAGCCAACAGCACCCCCATATAGGAAATCTTACTGAAAAAGCGTAGAAAAGAAACAGCAATAGCCGCATCAAAGGTTGAAGAACATCTTCTTTCGGGTCACCGTGATTTTGCATCTTGAATCTAGTCTAGTAGCGAGAGACGGAATGAGTGACCTCACCCCGGTATTTGGCTCCCTCAAGTTATCCTATGTTCTACGTGGGAGCAATGATGATAAGATAATTGTAAGCCTAGGCTATTTACGTCATGGACAGATGCAATCTCACCGAAGTCTAGTCTTCAACACCAGTTGCAACGACGATGATTTTAGTGGTGATTCGGCGCATTCCCTAGCGTCAAACAATTGGGGTAGACAGGCCACGGCTGGGCTGGTTATGAGGAAGGTACCAATCCGCACGGAGGTAATAGCTTGAGGCAAATTTCAACCCAAATTGGAGCACCTATAATTTGTGTGAGAATGCAGTGCCTACTCGAATAAATCCTATCTCTACCAGGACAATAGGCATTGCACCATTCAATACAATTGCTTACCTCCCGAGTATATACCCTCGAACGTACGACGCATAATCACCAATGATCACCAAAGCAAGACCGCAGAAATCGAATAGAGGGGCTCTGCTCCAAGTTCAGGCATACAGGCACGCAGTAGGTCGGCAGGTCGCGAATATTGCATGATCTATAGCGGTTCTCCTAGAACAAGCTGTCACCAGACATGCTCAGCGGGCTCATCGCCGAAAACCTATGTTAGCGAAAGCCGAAGGAGAACTCATCGGAGCGCTGCGAGAAAGCGTCGGCCGAAACATGTCGGTGCAGTCCGAATGGTCTTTACGACAAACGGGCAACACGAACAAACTCGCCAGCTCTTTGCACAGCCTGAGCCGTATATAAGATGATGCAGATCGGACTGCGAGGCTCAACAGTGCTCACGGAGCGAAGTAAACTTCGGACTTTGCAAGGAGCAGCATCGCGATGGCGACTTACGCGAAGACCTCGTTCAACGCAGCGCGCTACGCAGCTGGTACGTCCTGCAATTGGCTGGCCGCATTTACACCCATCTCTTGTTCCAATCACGTCCTACGTTTGCCTCCTACTTAAAGTATCTTATACTCACCACCATATTATACTTCGTCCAGCGCGTCCAACATATCCCCGCCAGCTATATGACCTCCTCTTCCGCTACCACGAGCGCGGCCCCGGCGCACGATGGGATACTGCACTCGACTTGGGCTGTGGTACCGGTATGTCGTCTGTTTTGTCCGAGGATCTCATACCATCATTCTGACTCGTGTCTCACTCCCTCAGGCCAAGCGACGCTCGAGCTGGTCCCATTCAAGAACATCATCGGCGCCGACCCGTCTGCGACGATGATCGCGCAAGCAACGAAGAAGTTCGCAGCGCAAGGTGCGGACGTGCAGCTGGGTCTCGCCGATCGTGTGCGCTACGTGCAGAGTCCGGCGGAGGAGCTAGGTTGGTTGGAGGACGGGAGTGTGGACATGATCGTTTCCGGTGAGCACCGCACACCCATATCTCGTCACTCGTCGAACTATACTTTTGTCGAACCGACGACTATGCCCACCTATCTATGGAAGAGCCTACCGCTGACTTCTTCCCATCAAATAGCCCAGGCAGCCCACTGGTTCGACTGGACGCGCCTCTGGCCCGAGGCCGCGCGCGTTCTGCGCAAAGGCGGGAGTCTCGCCGTCTGGGTGAGCTGACCGTCCCCTCTACCTGTTCTCGTACCAACCACGTCCCAGGGCTACTCTGAGTTCCGACTCACGGACCACCCCTCGTGCACACCTCTCATCCACACGTATGTCCATGGCAGCGACGCGCGCACGACTATCGGGCCGTACTGGGAGCAGCCAGGGCGCAACATCCTCGACGATCACCTACGCCCAATCCCCGAGCCCAGCGCGGTATGCGGGCCTGGCGTGTGGGCGGAGAGCGAACGAGTCTACTTTGCCGGTGCGTACCTGTCCGACCCGATCTTTACGTCCGGCGTCTTACCAGATAGATATATCATTGTGTGCAGGGTCCCACCATCCCCATCTGCCAAACCCGCGCCAAGTGATCATGCGCAAGAAGACGACATGGGGGGGTATGCTGGGCTACTTGCGAACGTTTTCGGCGCTGCACACTTTCCTGGAGCGCTACCCAGAGGACAAGGAGCACCCAGAGGGGGACGTGGCAGTGCGGTTCTGGAAGGCATTGCGTACTCAGGTAGCTCGGGACAAAGGGATCGATGACGCGTCTGCTGGTAGTGAAGACGACGAAGTTGAAATAGAGTGGCCGTTGGCCATTGTGATGGCAAGACGGGCTGCCGTCTGATTGGTAAAGTTGTTACTCATGCCGTAACATGCCAGCACTAATCTAACTGTAATGGGTGATATGGTGATATCGGAGTAGTCATGGAGGACATCCTTTTGTACAAAGTTCCCCCCCGGAATGTCATCGAAATTTGTAATTTTGAATTTTGCAATTGATCAGGTGAAGCTGCCATCTGGGGGGTATACGTTTCCTTGTATATTCATCTAAGCGAGCAGTCCGCCTCAAGGTGGCAGTAAGTAGCGAGAAGAAACATAGGAACATCACTTCAAGCCGGATGTCTGATTCTAGTCTCTGACAATGGGGAAAGCGTCCAATACAACAAGATACAGTCTACTTTCTATACACATTACAGCTGGAAACACTAGCTTCTTGGATACAGCCTAAATTTTTACACAGGCAAAAGCCTTTCTTTATCTCGTACAGTCCGGATCCAGATCTCCCCCGGTCGGCTATTACAATTCTTCATTAGCACCATATCACAGAAGATTGACCAGCAAAGAGAAGCGAATTCGAATTCACACTCACCTCTTCTCTCGCAAGATTCGGAATACCATGCTCCCTCCAGGCGTCTTATCTTTCCCGCCCGTACTCGGACGTGGATTCGCACCAACAGCGCGTGGCGGGAAGGCTCGTCCACACCGTGCCTGTAAGTCTGCCAGGCCCTCATTTGTGCCTTCCGCCTCGACTATTACCGTGCCGTACCAGCCGCGATCAACATACCAGGTACCGCCGGGTTGAGGGCCGAGAGGAATTGATGAGGGGACAGCAATGATGATGGGCTTGTCAGGTGCAGACGGGCGGACAGAAAATGACGACCGGTGGACCCAGCGCACTACTGTGTGGTGACTACCTTGTGGCCTGGTAAGACGACAGCATGTCAGCGTGAGGACACACTAGGGACTACAGAAGGCTGACTCCACGTACGTTTCGGTTTTGGTCCTATCTTGTATAAGCTGTAGATTTGCCGCAACCTCACCCCCCCACGGCGAGATGTCGATGTGACAAATCGGATTCCCACTCCCCGGGGTGCGTATGACGCGGTGGAAATACGACGGCGGAAACGCCAGCGTCGGGAGATAGTACGGTAGGTCGCCAGTCCTCGACCAGGTGTAGTCCAGGTCCTGCACAGATTCGTCAGTTCTGGCGCGTGAGAGTCTCGAAGAACAAGACTAACCAAGAGATAGCTCCCATCCCACACCATCCTGCCCGTGTTTGCCTCATCGCCCGCAGCGACATCCCACACAACATCCCCCGCTCGCAATAAATGCATCACGCCCGCTCCCCTAAGTTCGTTCTCACACGCAAGTACGCTCTCATCCGATAACCATTCTCCCTCTGGGGACGGAACGAACACTTGTAAAAGTGGCGCGCGGCGGAGGCGAAACAAGGGTGAGTGAAAACCGCCTGGGGCGACGCTCTCCCGCCCACGCGAGCTGCGCGTACGCGGTGAGAATTGCGCCTGAACATGAGCAGACACAGACTGAGAGTATGATGGCGAATGAGAGTGGGAGAAGGACGACGACGGGGAAGGCGCGCGGCTCGAACTCCGTGACATACCGCGATAGTGATTGATGGACGGGCTCCGTGAGGTAACCGGGCTCATAAGACGGGGACTACCAGCTGGGTTTTCGGGAGGTGGGGGAGCATATTTGGCCTGTATTTCAGCTTGAGCACGGAGGCGGAGAACAACGCGAGTGAACGCGCGGCATGCCCTAGCAAGATCTTGGACGGTCATTTGCTGGTCTATGTCGCCTTTCGCCTGCAAGTAGGAAGTTGCGAAGTTGGCAAACTGATGCGAGGGTATGGACACACTGCGCATATATGCATGGAGATCCTGTGAATGGCAATACGTTGTTAGACCAAACCGCGACACGAGACATTGCAAGAAACATACACCGAGGGAGAGCACCAATGGCTCTTTCTCCGACTTCGATTTCACCGCAGATCTCCCTCGCTCTTTATCTTTCTCCTGCTTGACCAAATCTCCTTCCTTCTCCCCCCATATCCATCGCACATAACCCACCGTACACAAGAATCGCTCCAGCACACATTCCCTCAGCTCCCTCTCCCTGTCCACTGTCTCTCTTGCTGCCTTGCTCACCCGTGAGACGGCGCACCATTCCGCAAACGTTAGATGAGCTAGCAGCCCTGCTAGTAGGGGGGGTGTCATCAGGTGTCTCACAAACGGGTATGGCCCACTTGGTTTCGGCGGTATCATCTCGATACTCGCATCGTGTCCTGCGCCGAATGAAAGCTTGCCTAGTCGCATTCCCCGCCGCATCGACCGCGCCCGCGCGTACTCCTCCGGTGACACAGGCGTCGGGGGGTGTCGTCTCCGGCTATCAGCCTCGGGTATCATCGCATCCTCCCGCTCGATCTGCTCCCACTCTTCCACGTTTTTCTCGCCTCGCCTCTCTTTCTCCTTCCTCAGCTTCGCTGGCTTCTTCTCTCGTTGGCTCCCCTCCCTCATATCCGCGCCCTCACGCACCTCCGCACCGACACTAGCACTCGCACCCGTACCCGCACTCGCACTCCCATCCTTGCTCCGCTCCGTGCTCGATCCCGCGCGTGCACCGAGTCGCTCAACCTGCTTCTCCGTCAGCGCTTTCACGCCAAATCCCACAATCCCGCCCAGCGCCGCTCCGAGCCCCCGTGCCCCGGTGGTGCGTTCCGAGTCTACCGAGCTCCCCGACGGTGCCATTCGCAGTTGTATTGGGGATCCTAATGGGCCCACCTCTTTCTGTGAGTCGACAGACTCGCTGCGAGCATGCCCGCGCGTGTCCTGCGAGTGTCCGCGGCGAGGTTTGCTGAGCTTCCGCGGGCGCCTATGTCTCTTCGGGTCCCGCATAGCATCTTCATCCGTGTCATGGTGGGGAGATGCAGATCGCTCGCGTCCGTGTTCGTGCTCAGACAGGGTAGGTGGAGGCAATGAGTGGCTTTGCCTACGGCCTTGCCCGTGTCCGCTGCCGCTACCACTAGATTCGCGATGTACAAAGAGTCCAGCGTCACCTCGCCCACGCGTCTCTTGCTCCGCGTCAGACTCCAGCACGGGCGACGGTGAGCGTGGGGTCGGATATCCGTAAGTGTTTTCGAAGTCCCTCGGCGCGCCTTCGGAATCATCTTCCCGGTCCTCCGCTTCGTGGGTGTTATTGACATCGTTAGTCGGGTCGTGGTCTTCCTCCGTCTCCGCTATCCGAGCGGCAACTTCAGGTTCATATATTTTGCTTTCATCAGGCGTAGTTTTTTCTGGAGCACATGTTTCAGCCAATTCACGTGAATAATAGGTCATATACGGAGCGTCATCGACAGCGATCTCTTGTGCCGTGATAGCCTGAATCGGATGTGCGTCGGGATCTGACATAGCCTTGAAAATCAGTGGACGGCCTTTCACCAATGCAGGCTCTTGGTAGACTCCAGGCGGGAGCACAGCATCCTCCCTACCACCTTGTCCACCCATGCCCATATCAAGCTCATCCGTCGCCAACGCAGCAAAAATGCGCGGCTTACCCAAGATCGGACCCACATCTTGAAAGTTTTGGTGTAGTTGTCGATGTTGATGATGTTGCTGCTGCTGCCCATATCGTTCTTGATATTGCGGGTGCAGATGTACAGGGTATCGTGAGACAGACCCAGATGTTGTCAATGGTGGAAGAGCCTGCTCATGTGGGTATTGATACGCATAGGGATATGCAGCGGCGATAGGCTTCGCCATATTTTTACCGTCTACATGAGTATCAAAGTGGCGCGCTACATCGGCCTCGTTCGGATATGTCACGTCGGCATTAGAGTTCCTAATGACACGAGAAGGTGCGGCTGGCTGCGTAGACGGGACAGAATGAGATGTAGTTGAAGACGGAGGTAAATGCGACCGAGAGCGCTGTGCACTTGAGCCCGACGAGAAGGACGAACTAGCTGTATGCGGCTGAGTCGAAGTAGAAATTGAAGCAGCCGAGGGCGGGAGCTTCCTATGTACCGAGCGGGGGCTAGTAGCTATTACTTGCGGGGAAGGACCAGGTCGAGTACTGGTAGCTTGAGAAAGGGAATTTGGGAAACCAGGAACGGGGGCAGGGCGCGACGTTGACTTCGATTGCTTTTGTGTTTGTTGGTGATAGAGAGCCTGCTGTGGGTGAGCGAGAGATGTGGCAGCTCGAACCGGTTCGCGCTATGTAGGCGAACAGCCATTAGTACTGAGACAACATATGGCGCCAACGAACATGGCAAACAAAACCAACGAGAATTACCACGGGGTTCAGTGCTGAAAGAATATACGAGACTTAGACGCCCGAGCTCGGTCCAATCCATGAAATCCTTTGCGAGGTTTCATCAGACGGATCAAGACCTCAGGTATCTCATGCCTAGTTCAAGCACCCCCGAGTCTGGGAAGGCCCTCGAAAGAGCTGAAACATGAGGCAATAACCATACATCTACTTAGATCCCAGGAGCTCATCCGACGACAAAAACAGTCGACTGGAGATAGTGCGTACTGTGCACGCCAGAGATTTTTACGGTGGAAGCTACGGAAACAGGCTGTTCGATACCATCGTGCAAAAGGTGGTACGCGCGAGAGATGAAAGGCGCTCAGTTGAAAGTGAGAACTCACCAAGCGCGAGCTAGAGGCAGCAGCCCTCTGAGCGTAAGGGTCGCTTTTGGTGTGCTGGAGCTTTGACGTCTGAGCCTGTCTAGAGACATCAGCAGCATGCCTGGAGCGCTGCGTGTCCGTGGGTTTCGCAGGGCTCGAATAAGGATAATCGGGCTGAAAAGACGGGTATACACGAGTCAGGACAGGCATGATAAGAGAAAACTTAGCAGAGGGCGAGGAGCCGGCGCCAAGCGGAGCGGAGGGCAAAGGTTAACGAGACAACGGGAATCGACGAAGGGCGAGGCAGGACTATAAGGGAGCAACACGGAAAATAAAAGGGGCCGATCGATGCCTGCATACGGCATCGTCATTGGGTGCACGGACAAAGCATGGTCAAATGCGGGTGGATGCATGACTGGAGATGAAACAGGAGCGGGAATCGAGGAAGGACACTGCTCATGAATGGCGTCGAGGGTCCTTCGCGTCCTCGCTCGTCGCGATGGCCGTGACAGCATCGAGGAGGTGGCCCTCCGCGCTCCCAGGCTGTCACATCCGTCGCGGTGCGCGTGACGGTCCGCGACGCGTCCAGACGCGCCCACGTGCCCGCGTGTGGGCAGCGTACCCCACGCCACGACGGCATTGCGCTCGTTGCAAAGACGAGAGGCGCAGAATGATCGTCGTCGTGCGCAGAGCATGCCCTCCTGCAGGTAGAGGTGAACACAAGCTGGAACTCAGCAGAGGAAAAACACCCGGCACGCCCCTGTCTTCGCTGGCATCACGCCCAGGCCGACCCACGGAGCGCCCGTCGTCGAAAATCACCCCGGAATGAGTGTTCGAGATGTGCACATGCACGATACGCGGAACCGCGAACATAACGGACACCAGGGTCCCGAATATTGCAGTAGGCCACTCACCTTCTCTTCGCGATCTCCTTCGTCTCCGCTCTCCTGCCCTTGCCCCTTCCCGGTCCGCCCAAACGATGGCAGGGGCCCAAATGCGGCCAGCAACGAGTACTTCCGCCGCGGCTTCCCCTGCGATGTGCTTGAGGCCAGCGCAGCATGCACCCCAGCGGGTGGTTGTGTTTCACTTTTTAGCTGACTTGTCTGCTCATGATTTGACTGCTCTGGCGGAGACGGCGACGGTGGTGGCAGCGGCGGCTGTGGCTTCGATCGCGGGTCGACGTCCACAGGCAAAAATGGCAACTCTTGTGTTTTCACCGGCGATTGGCGGGTCGAGATGTCCGCTTGTTCGACTGGCTGGTCCTGCGTCTTCACATGAGACGAACGCGAAGGCGAGTCCGCTGGCTGCGCCAGTGCGGGCACGGGCCGCGGGGGGGGAGACAAAGGCAGGGTGTGCGGCGCAGGAGGCGACAACAGCACCTGCGCAAGCGTTTCTGCAAATGGCGGCGGTGGCGGTGGCGACGACATCTGTATTTGCATTTAGCACACGCCGTAAGCTCGAGGGCACACCTCGCAATATCAGTAGATTGACATGTATTGCGCGTACCTTTGAAAGTGTCTCCCCTACATCGTCCAACCCCCGGACGTTCTCTGCCCCCACAAGAGGCGACATGACGTGCGCGGGGACGGGCGGCAAGGTCACCTCCGTTGGTTGTAGGCGTAGAGACGAGGGAGACATCATTTGAGCTGAGGACGAGGGCGACATTGTCTGCGTTGACACCGGCGAAGACATCAACGTCGACCCTGGCGTAGACATTGCCTGCACCGATGACGATGCGCTCGACGAGGGCGGCGTCGGTAGTGCGAACGTTCCCGCAGTCCCGCCAGCCCGTTGAGATGAGGACGAGGACGTGCGTGTGCGCGTGTGCGCCTCCGTGATTCGCGCTTCCACATCTGCGTATGCATAGCGCGCCGTGGCAGACGGCGAGAGAGGTGGGCCAGCACGCGAGTGCGATGGCCGCCGTGTGCGCCGTGCGTCTGGGTCGGTTGCACCAACACTTGATGATATACTGGTGCTCACCTTGCGCTCGCGATCACGGTGGCGCCGGGCTCGTTCCGTTTCTCTCTCTTGTTCTTCCTCTCGGGCCTTTTCCCTCTTCCGCTCGCGCTCAGCCTCCAGCTCAATCTCATGTTCCCTCTCCTTCTTCCGCGCCCTTCGTTCCTCTCGTTCTCGCTCTTTCCTGATCGCTCGCTCGGCATCCGTTTCTCTTAGACGCTCCTTGTCTTTTTCCTTCGTCCTTGTCGGCTCTCGTTCACGCTCCCTCTCCCGCCTACGCTCTCTCCTCTCCTCTCTTGCCCTCTCCTTCTCATTCTCTCGCCTGCGCTCTTCTTCTTGTTCTCTTGCCCTCTCCTTCTCTTTTTCTTTCTCCCGCCTGCGCTCCTCTTCTCTTTCTCTCTCCCTCCTCTTCTCTTTCTCCCGTACACTCGCACTCGTACTGCGACCCAGCCTTTCACCTCCCGTTCCTGCATTCGAACCCAAAGTAGGTCCCAGTTCGTCCTGTGATGCACCACGATGCATCGTCGCGAACCGCGCATATAAGGGGGGTACGCTTGCCTCGCTCGTGCTGGTGCTCGGTGTCGGAGCGAGCCGGGCCGAGTGCGAGATTGCGCTGAGTGGCGGAAGTTGCGGCGCGGTACTGCTTGTTGAGAGCGAGCGTGTATGCTTGTGTGTGCTCTTCGGTACTGTGGGTTGCGAAATCGCGACATTCGCAGAGGACCGCTTACGCCGGAGGAGTGGCATAATGTTGATGTAGATTTATGCGAGGGTCCGTGGATGTGTGTATGCGCGATGCGGTGGGAGACACGATGCGGGTAGTGCGTAGCGGACGTAACTTCTTTGGCTAGCTCGAATTTCTGGTGTGGGGAAAAGGAGAGAACTCAGCTGGAGAAGAGTGGGGTGCATAATGGCGGCCGGCAATGCAGCACGCCATCACGCACGTTCGGTATAGATAGAACAGACAGATTTAAACACTTACTTTTCACACCAAGCCCGACCGCTACTTGAGACCTGGCGCCTCGTGCCAAACAACTGCTGAGATTGTTGAGGCATCGGTTAGGTTAAAATAACAAGTGAACTACACGCACGGAATGAAGAAGAGACCACTGACTGATAGGATAGAGACGATAATCCCCTGCTCTCCAAACTCTAAAGTGCGGCCTTCTTCCGCCGTCTTTCCGCAAGTCTAGCCTTGTCTAGCTGTGAGACTACCAACTGTGTTCCGCTCCTTTCTCAAGGTCTGGCGCAACACCACACCACCTGCTTCAAGGAGAAAGCTTAGAAAGAGAGTTCTATGCACCTCGCCCGCAAAGTTTCAAGCTTTCAAGGCTGGGCGCTCGGACTGGGTCCAAGGCCGATGCAATGAGGCGCTTGGCTAAAGCTTGCTGGTGTATGAGGTCGGCACGAAGCAGGGAAGTCGCCTTTTAGAGCACTAGAGTTACCACTACTAGGAGTGCACAAAATAGCCTCTGGAGAATCGGAAACTGCTCCTCTTTCAAGGTTCAGACGACGAAACAGAATATTAGCAACCGACGTCAACGTCTTCCACGGTAGGGAGAGGATATTTGTGGAACGGTGACGCTGTGAGGGGCATGAGGCAGATGAGATGGTGTGCCTGGTCGAGCCATCGTGAGATGGAGAGGATGATGGAAGGAAATTGAGAGTGAGCGGCAAATTTGAGTAAGGTCTCATATTCAGCCAACAAAGACAAATTATTGTTACCAGCTGCCATTCAAATTGAATATTGAGTGATTCGGCACCTTTGCCATGCAAGCAAGGAAAGGTATTGGAACGCATGATAAGTTTTTTGCAGGTTTCATGAAGTGGATTTCGCGCTTCTAAAATCTTTCGCCCTTCCATCATGTTCGTTGAAGAAACATATAGTCATAGGTGCATGCTCTACAAACACATGAATCCCCATTATACAGTAATAGAGGGAAATGCTCTACAGATATAGGAAGTATGAAAGCAGATTCATTTCATGTTAATCAAACACATAGCCGCCAGGATATCCAACTCATTACAAACTTCCTTGCAGTTCGGCTGTGAAGGATTAAATGGACAAGGATGAAGGTAGTTTGCGTCTGATAAGTCTATAATACGCAGGGGATTGTCTGTGACGTTGTCTCCATCCACGGCGACGAAATGATGGTTGGAGCGGCCATCCAAAGAACCGTGCTGCCAGCCAGCGACATGCAAGCGTGTGGCTGCTTGAAGTTTCTGTGCACTACCACACCCCCGTGACCCAGTCAGTCGAAGTCAATAAACGCGAAAGACGAGGCCGAACGCACCTTAACAATTTTGAATCGTCAGACAGAGGCGCACCACACCACTGGAGGAGAAGGCACCCGACATCCACTCCCTCGACTGTGGCCTCCAAATAGTCGTACAATTCGGGTATGACTTGACCTTGCAATTCTCCCAACAGGCAGTAGTTCTCTCGCTCTTTTTCTAGCTTTCGAATACGCGACATTCTCGTGACCCATTTCACAGCAATGTTGCCTTCGCTGATGTATTTCCCTTCTTGCTTGTAAAACCACCCATGATAAACTCGTTGTCCTCCTCTTGTGCCATGTATTGGATGGAATTCGGGATCGAGCTGATCAGGTAAGTCGGTGATGTATATTGTTGTCGGGGGATCATGAGGACGCAAACATGATCGAAGCCTATAAACGTGCGAACTGCCAAAGTTTATCGTGACATAGCCGTCGTCAATGCGAAGAGGACGTCTGGAAGGGGGGACATGTCGAGATGCTGTAGTACGCTGTGGCATGTCGGTGACTGAGTGGAGGGTACATACAGGCTTGTGCAAAAAGACTTATATTCTCGAGTGAAAGACACCTTGTGAGGCCACAACGTGGCTCGCCACAGTGGCCCAAAGGGCGACAATGAGCCAGAGCAAAACCAGAACTCTTTGTGAATCTTGTGAATCTTGTGAATCTGGAAGATCAAACTTAGCCTTTTGTGCAAGAATAAGGGCCGGCAGGCCAATCTCTAAAATGATCAGACACATGTCAGACTTAGTTGAACCAACAAGATGAAGTATAGACTTACAGAAATACTGATTGAGAACACGCCAACTTCTGACAAACATTTCGCGAGCAAATCGAATACGTACCAGTTTTGGTCACGGAGCCCCACTTTGCTCTGCTTTCCCTTATACATAGACCATGCGAATGAGGGCAATTTGCCGAACTGACGCTGTCGAGATCTGGCTCAGTACTTATTTCTTTCACTCTGATTACCAGACGTCTGTGGATGAAGTGATTCAAAATAGTACAAATCACGGTTTGTCGCCAGAACAAAATTTCGAGGCCTCGCTCAGAAGAACGTACTGGCGCAACGACGCTAGAGTATCATAATTATGGCACAAGGTATATGAAGTGTAGTTCCATAGTAGACACTCCGGCAAGAGGAAAATCGAATGAAAGCAAATTATCTTCGAGGAGATGAGGACCAGTAGTGGTGGTCTAATTAGACTTGATCTCTACGCCACGTATACGGAAGGAGCTCGATGTGACATGATAAGCTCAGCGAATTCGGTACGTTCCGAGCCAATGCACATAAGTTGGGTCTTTTTTTCAGATTCGGATTCAGATACATTCTGCTGGCAATCCGTTAGATAGACAAGGATGGAACAAGGAGCATAAATGCAAGGAAATTTGATGGCAAGTGCAAGCTAAGTGTATGAGCCATGGCTACGAACTAATGCGAAAGCATGCGAAATCACAAGATAATAAGTATATAAAATACATATGATACGATGAGACACAGCCTAGAGTTCTGGGGATCCGTATACCAATCTATTATGAAAAGCGGCTCAATCGGGTAAGTTCCACGAGAATACTCTCCCTGTGTCCTCGCCATGGTACAAGGTCTCGCTTGAAGCAAATATTTAAGTCAGCGTGTCGCCCGGACACTCTTCGCAATAAAACAGAATTCTCTTACCCAATGAATTTCAATGCCGTGACGCAAGAAGCCTCGTCCCTAACCTGCACTTCACCATCTGGACCCTTCACTTTTAGCGTTCTCAGTGTGACGAAGTTCCATTGTGCCCTTTGGCCCTCTTCAGTTTTGTCCGTGTTCCATGTCCTCAATGTGATGGTGCCATCCGACCCACCAGTCGCAATCACACCAGTGCGTGTATAGTCACGCTCTAAGAACGCCATGGAAGTAATGGCAGGGTATGTGTGGGGTATTGCGGGAGAGACGAGATCTAACGTCGCAATTAATCGACCATTGATTGTGTTAAGACACAGCTTGCTCCGAGAGCATGTAGCGATGTAGCCCTGCCCGCGAAGTGAATCAGGGGGTCATAAACCATTACAGGATAGTGACTAACCGTGCTTTCATTTATACTCACGAGATAGACCTCATAGTCGTCCCCAGGTCCATGCCAAATAGTTCTGACATAAGTGCCGCGGTTCAAGTCCCATACCACGGCGCTGCAATCCACGGAACCACTAACAACGATCGACCACGACCTCGACGCGGTTACACACATCACCCTCGCCGTATGCGCGCGCATAACGTGTGTGAGAACTGCGCTCAATGGGGGCTCCTTATGCCGGTGCAGAGAATAGTTCGATCCTCGCTGAAGCCTCCACAGTCGCACCATATGGTCGTGCGAACCTGTGACTAACGTAGTTGAATCTGCGAACGCCGCGCACGAGCACGCAGTGGACTCTAAAACTTGAACAACCTGGAATAGTAGTGAAACGAACGGCTAACGCATTATGATAGTAAGGGTGCATACCTTTTGGTCAACCAAGACGTTTAGATCGCCACTCGCGCCAAGCCATTCTACTTGTTCATGTGGGTGTGACGGTGCACACAGCGTTCCATTAGAGCATGGGACGATGCGTTGACCTATCGCGTCAAACTCCAATGATCGAATGGGTTGTTGAGGACCAAGATCTGGGGCTTAAGGTGAGGCCATACTGTGTTTGTGAAACTATCAGAATGCTCGAGCTACCTTTCATAGGCCTGGCACTTTGCGATAGAAGAAGGTAATCTTCTGCAATGCCATACAACGTTCCTATAGGCAATGCAGAATTTCCGTGCATCATCCGTTCCGGATGAGGGGTATGAAAAATCTTGCGGGGTGTCTGTCCAACTATAAAGGCTGAGATACAGCAAGCTACTATTGAATTGAAGAAATCTTCCCCAAACGTACAGTTATGTATGATTCCTACCGTGGCCTCACGTTCCAGATCATCAGTTATGCTATCAAGATCTAGACCAACAGGAATTGTCCTAAGCATATTACATATGATGAATCGAAATAGCGTACCTATGGAGCCGGCATAACTTAACGGATGAAAAGCGTTCAGAGAATCTTGATCGCGTTGTTTATATCCCCAGATCAAGTCTATCCACTGAGGGAGATGTTCGCTGACGTAGTCGCTTTCCAACGCCTACACGTAGATAATGGCAGTGAGAAAGTAAATCATGGTGCTCGCGTAATGTAGACGGACCTGACGATTTAGCTCAATAAACAACAACGGGTCTCGCTTTGCCCAAAGAGGCAGCTTCACATCGTCAATGCGCTCGCCAGTATTTTGCTGTACCCCAAAATTTATGCGAGCAGAATTCTCCAGGAATCTAGTATACAGAGTCAGGACCATCCGATGATCGGTGAGACAAAGAATTGACTCAGGTAGACAGTAGAACTCCGGTATCAGTTCGCGGACATCACCCCGTACGTCTGTAGAAGCGCTCTCGTAAGCCCGTCCTATGTCACTAAGACATAGAACTGTTCAGTTTAATTATCAGCGCTGAAAACTATTATTGTACCTGAAAAGTCTGTCTGGTAGATCCCAATCACCACCCTGTAGACGAAACGTCAATCTCAGCAGTGCGCTATGAATCTGAAGCGTACCTGCAACGTCCTAAACATATGACTGAACGGCTCCAACCTGATGAGGAAATGACAAACAATCATAGAGGAGCTGAAATGGGTGCCGTAGTGGAAAGGATTCTCGCCAACGCTTTCTAGGTTAATATATCGAGTACGTGCGGCCTCTTCGCGGGCAGGTGTAAGGGCGCCCATAGGGCGAGTTAGACTGAAAGATTGGGAGTATCAGCCTTGGCCATGGCTGTCTTTAGTAAAGATAGAAGCGTACTCGCGAAAAGAGTCGATGGAATGCAGATCCAGCGAGGGCGAACTATAATCACGCAATACCCAGGCTATACCCATGATGAGTAGGTTATTCCAATGGAAAGTCGGTGCTGACTCACGAAAGACTGGATACTGTGTTGCATCGCTGGGTGTTCGACCCGAAATTTGGTTGAGAATGCTGAGATACGTGAACTATGCAGATTGTAAGCAACCATCATGAACATCTTTAAGTATAACGCTCCCACATTTGATATTTCTCTCGCCTGCCATTTCCTCTGGGCAGTCGACAGTTCATCAATTCTAAGACCAGAGAGTACCTTGGCACTTAGAGAAGCGCTCAGCTTCCCACTCAGTCTGCCAACCATCGGGGACAACATCGGAGACAATAAGGGCGATTTCAACATCCCTGGAGATGGCGGCGGCGGTTCGGCATTCAATCGATAGACAAGGGATGATAATCTATCGTTTATATCCTGACGCTGACGTTTGTCCAGAAAGACTACCAATAAAGACCGGCTGTCCTTGAAGTATATTTCCAACCTATGAGATGGGTGATTCAGTGATTGCCTGTGAAATAAAGCGCTTTGTCCCTCACCCAACATCGCGGAATAAGAATGTACGATCGCTGAAGCTGACGACTTGGTCATGACACCTATTCAAGCAAAAATTGAGTTGTAGAGCAAGAATATAGACATCGGGACATACCAACGCTGTGCTCTCTGAGGACCGTTAAGCTCAACTATACTTCCCGGAACGAAGAATAACCTTTTCGACGCATCGCGAGCATCTATGATCTCCCCATCATCGTTTTGAACTAGACCATCTAGCATGTAGATATGTGTCCGCCCGAAAATCAGTAAACCAGCTATAACAAAGTGAGTACAGATTATTAGCATCTTTGCACGTAACCTACGATATGAATCTACACCAGCAATGCGCGCGGTCGTATGGGCTGCTTCGATAACATCACCAGGCTCGAGTTCGTGTCTCACTCGTCGGTGTTTATCGTCCACAATCTCTTCTTCAAGGTTGTTCTCAACTGTTCGATAAGACTAATTAGGAAAAAATCGAGGCCAATAGATATCTAAGGATTTACCTTCAGCGGAAATTGTCGAATGTTCATATGTGTCAGACCACGATGGGACCTCTAGGTGAAGGACCGACTGAGTATCTACATCGGACACTTGCAAATCGCCGAAATACGATGGAGTAT